AACTCTGCCTCCCAAAGACAGGATGCTCGAAATAGAAGAAGGATTTTCAGTGCTTTTGTACCAGTCTCAGGCTATTCCAGCTTGACTTGAATTCAGAATGTATGGAGTTTGAAGTTATTTCAAACATACTTTAAGGCCACTGACAATTGTGATTTCAAGCAGTTGATCATCTAGCACAGACAAAGTTGATTGATCTGGCTTATTCACAATGGGTCTGAGATCAACTCTTTTCCAGTCTGGGTGTCATTTGTGGTTGAAAAGTAAGGCTCAAACTCTTTTGAATGCTGGGAGAAAGAGGTGCTGGCTTAGTCTCTTCCAACGATCTCTGCTAAAGTGTGAGGCATGTCAAATCTACCGATGTTCACTCATCACCTCCATAATTCCCATTCTGGTTGGAATGCATTCACTTTATCTGCCAACTTGCACTCAGTTTTCTTCCTCCCCTGAAGTGACAGATTGAGTTCACTGAATAGGTTGAATAGGTTACATGAGTAAGCAAGTTTTGCAATCCATGCTGTATTACTGAAATGTGCTGCCAGTGGTGACAGTTCTAAAGGAAATCTCAGGAGTAGCTGTCATCTGTCCAGTGAGCCACCTTTAGAAAGCCATCTCACTTATGTGTATAAAACAAGATGTGTACTTTGCATTCATCTCCTCACAGAGCTGTGTGGACAGGAGTTAAGGGCATATACTATAAATGTGGTTGATAATTTTAACCACATCAAGCAAAAAGTTGTTACATTCAGGTGACGTTTTTGACTAGCCAGCGTTTCTCTATGGATGACACAATGTGCATATGCCAACACAAAATGACCAATTCAGTTTTCCTGATATGTAATCAAAGGCTTGAATAATTCTTTAGCTATGATGTTGTTTGGCAACGAAAGTGCACATAACGTATCCTTATGTACATTGTCCTGAAAAACATATTGCATAGAAATCATTGTTGTCAACAAGAATGTCTTAGTTACTTTTCTCTTTGCTGGGACAAAATACCCAAAATCCAAAGTTAAAGGAGGAAAGGCTTACTTGCCTCACAGTTTGTAGAGGTATAAGTCCATAGTTGACTGGCTGCAATGCAGGCGGGCATGGCAGAGGGGCATCATAGAGCATAAATAGTCCATGGGGAAACAGGGCAGGCAGACAGCAGCAAGCAACAAGCAAGCAACCAACAAGCAACAAGTAGTAATAGCAGCTTGTCCCTATCCTTTTATATTCTATATAGACTACCCAGCCTTGGGGCAGGTAGCACTCATACCCAGAACTATGCCAAACCAATCAGTGGACTAATTTGGTAATCACACACTCTAGATCCAGCCACCTCCAAAAAGCCCCACCTATGACTGCATGAGGCTTTGGAGAGACAACTAGACACAAGCTATAACACTTAGTCAACCTGGATTATGTACCACAATGACTCACTAATCCTAACAATTGTGCCTTGATATCTTCTGCTATTTGATAAATTTGTGCAATTTTGGTACTAGGCAAAAAAGGAATACATGCCACCTTTTGAACTGCAGCCTCTCTTAAAAGGTCAGAACAAATGTCCTTAGCAGCAGGCAGAATCAACTCTTCACCAATAGTAAAGAATTCCTTAGCTTAGCAATGCAGTTAGCCTCTAAGAATGATGCTTTCGGTGCTTATATATTTGATCAACTGGTGGCCCTTAATTATTACTTCTGTTCTTCATACTTATGATTTTTATAGCCTGTCACCATAGATTATATAACCAGTAACAATCTTAGCTATTATATTATATTGTATTACCATATATTTTATCTATAAGATAGACACCACATTATAATACTATACATTATACAAAGCAGGCTCAGAGAATGTGGATCAACTGCTGTAATTTAAATAGGACTCTTGCAATTTTCTTTTAATCCTAGCCATCAGTTTTCTGCCATCTCATCATTGTGTCTTTTTTTAAAATTTTATTTCATTGGTACATTTTAGGTATACTATATAATGACATTCATCATTGGAAATTTGCACGTTTACATAATCTCTCTTGGTTATTTTTCCCCCTTCCCCTGACCCCCCTTCAACCCCTCCATCCCTCCCTATTTACAAAGACTTTGTTTCCATTTTTTTTTTCTCATATTAATTCCATTCCCTTCTTTAATTTCCCCTACCCCTCCCACTTGCCCTTCCCCTTTGCCCCTTTTCTTCCTATTTCACATTATCTATTATACCTTTTAGTCCTTATTTCTTTTACTCTTTTCAAAGTAGATCTCTGGTGATGTTTGTTTCTTACACATTTTAGCCAAGGGTAGCTTGTGGGCTTACCAAAACTGTGAGTGAGACAAGCGCACAGTGCAGGAGAGAGGTGAAGCAGGAAGTGGTAAATAAGATAATGGGTGGGCCAGATGGGACTGAAATAAATGTCAAATTCTGACTTACAACCTGCCACCAAATTTGACTCTTCAAGTAACTGAGTTATCATGGTCTCTGTACAGTGAAACCTTTCTGCTAACGTTCATCTCTATTCGCACCCACTCCTCAGCATCAGCATCACCACCTCAGCTCCACCTGGGATCATCAGGCATTAGATTCTCATGAGCATTAAACCTAGATCCTCCACCTGTGCAGTTCTCACTCCCATGAGAGTGGAATGCCACCATTGACCTGACAGGAGGCAGAGCGCAGGCGGCAATGGGAATGACAGAGCACTGCTGTACATGCAGATGAAACTTCTCTCTCCTGCCTGCTACTTACCTCTTGCTGTGTGGCCTGGTTACTAACAAGTCATGGACAGGAGTTGTGGACCACTGCCCTAAGCAAGATAACAACTATCTACATAGCATTCACAGTTTTTAGGTATCATAAAAATTTATCCATAATTGCTGGCCAAGTTGCTCCCAAAGGAAAAAGAATTTTTTTTAATTTCAGATGCAGAAATATATATATATATATATATGAATTATGTGTGAATATACATAGACTGTTCATATATAAAAGCTACATGAAAACCTATTTGTAGATATTTGTATATATCTATACACACATATATCTTACATAGAAAAAAACATAATATGTATATATATATTTGTATCCCTGATAAAATCAACCTGCCGAATATTCCACATCCATTTTTTAGTTTACTCGTTAAATTGAAGTTAGTAATTTCCTTTTTTCCATTTTTAATAAAGCCAGTAGATCAATTATATCCAATACTATGAGCCTTAAATATGTACCAAGTATGTTCCCAATGAAGCTACTGTATTTAAGTTCTCTCATAAAAGCACTCAATACCATTTAACCTACTGAAAATCAGCATTAAGAAGTTCAGTTGTTTAGAAGACTCCAAATTCATGAAGACAAACATTTGTATTTAAAAAGTCAATTGTCTAATCAAGCAATATTTTCCACCTTGCTCTTATTAACTGGCCTTCTAAATGACAGGCTTTCCTACTCTGAGTGTTCATTTAACATCTGAAAATTGATTGCTCATTATTGTGATTAATGCATTATTATAAATAAATAATGCATCAGTGTGCTGACAATCTCAACAGTTTCTGGGCAGATGGAAGATAAATATAGGCAATGTATCTTTTTCCCATTTGAGAATTCTGATCTTACCTAGTGAATGCTACACTAAATGATTTCAATGTTGTGGTTTATAATTCCACCTTGGGAATAGTCAATTTAAAATATTGGAATTGATGAGGAAATAAAAAATAATATCATAAAACTATGTGCATTTATTTCAAGGATAATTTCTATAAGTCCTTATTTTGGAAGACTAGTTCCATGGAAGGCACGGTCATAAGTTATGGAACCTGGGCATTGACATTATGACATTATAAAAGGCCTCTTCATAGATTCTATTCCCCTGTCAAACATCTCATGTCTCTCAGCTCCTGAGAACAGAGCCCACATTCTTGCAAATAAGATCTATTTTGATTAAAAATCTAAGAATAGAGGGTATACATGACTTACTACACCTAAATCTTAGGATTTAAAGAAAATTTCTGGATTTGTACTATAGTTTACTGCATAGACTTCCTCATATATGTGTGGAAATTTCTATGGTTGTATTCAGTACTATTTAAGGACCATTCATATCTTTTAGAATGGCTTGTGTCAAAAAACAAAAAAAGAAAGATAACAATGTTGAAGAGAATGTGTAGAAAATATAATTCTTATACATTTTTCATTGAAATGTGGATTAGTACAACTATTATTTTTTAAATGGTAGGGAGGATCCTCAAGAAACTGAAAACAGAATTGGTACACAACTGAGTAATCTCTCTCCTAGGTTCATATCCAAAGGAACTGAAGTCAATATGCTATTGAGATATCTGTACTCCCATGTTCATTACAGCACACCTACAACACTAAGATTTGGACATCAGCAGTACCCATCAATAGATTAATAGAGAAAGAAAATGTGGTATTCATATGTCATGGAATATTATTCAGCCTTTAAAAAGTGGAATCTATCATTTGCAACAACATGGATAATTGTGGAAGACATTACACCTAATGTTAATGGCTTGTGTCTAGATGCCGCCCCTCAAAGCCTCATACAGTCATACATGGGACCTTTTCAGAGGTGGCTGGATCTAGAGTGTGTGATGCTGGGATTAAGGGTCTGTGACTACTAAATTAGGTTTGGCATAGTTCTGAGTGTGAGTGCCACCCACCCGAAAGGCATGTGGCCTAGACAGACTATAAAAGGACAAAAAGAAGCTGCTTCTTGTCATTGGCTGCTTGGTGCCTTATGCCTACCTGCTCTATGATTCCCCTCTGCCATGCCATCCTGTCATGGAAACTGCCAACTACAGACTGAAACCTCTTCAAACTGTAAGCTTCAATAAAGCTTTCCTCCTTTAACTTTTGGTGTCAGGTATTTTGTTTCAGTAAAGAGAAAAGTAACTAAGATATCTAGAGAAATACACAAGGCACAGAAAAACAAGTACTACATACCCTCCCTTATGTATAGACTCTAATAAATTCGATCTTGCATAAGTAGAAGAATTGTTGGTTACCTGAGACTGGGTCGAGGAAATGGGCAGTTGTTGATTAGTGGGTACAAAGCCTCAGGCAGGAAGAACAAGTTGTGAGATCTATTGTACAGAAGGGTGACTATCGTAAGTATGATGTATTATCTATTTTAAAATAACTAAGACTAAATTTCAATATCTCACAAGGAAAAATGGTAGGCAGGTAAGGTGATAGATATGTTAATTAGCTTAAATTAATCATGTTATACTATACATATATCAAACCATCACATTACATTCCATAACTATATATAATTTTGATTTATATATATTTATAATTTTATACTTTATGAATCAAAAGTTAATTAATTTGAAAGGACAAGTTAGAGCTTTACATTAAAAGTTTATTTATCTAAGAATTTTATAAATTCTCATTTTGAAATATGAATTCCATGAAAAAATAAAACATTACCACCAATGGTCTTGTCACCTCAACTATTATTAAGAAAAGTGAAGATTTTATTTGACTTCCATTGTGCTCATGATATTCGGTTCCTGTTCCTACATTTGAAAAAAGGAAACAGGGAATGTCTTGTATATGACAGGTATGAAGCCAAGTATGATGCATTTTATGTCATCGAATCCTCATAATAACCATACACAATTAAATACTCTAAAGTCTTCATGTATCAAAACAAATAATAAACTATGATCCCTTAAGCTTTAGTACCTTGCTAAAGTTCACTCACTGTGGTTGCAGGGTTGGAATTCAAATTCAGGGTTCTCTGCAGTCAGCAATTTAAGAGTTTATTAAGGCAGGGCCATGTGTATTTAGGTCTTGCTCTATTCTCAAATCACAATAAATATATAGCAGTGACTCTCAAAAAAGTCTTATCCTGTCTTTCTTTAAAAAGTATGACTTGAAAATAGGTCACATGTTGTAATTTGTCAGCCACTGTGAGCCTTTTAATTAGCATATGACTTGATAAGACTTAGAAAAAATGCGGCTTTGTATAGGAGGGAAAATTCATGTTTCTTTCCTAAGGAAATCATATGTAATTTTATTCCCAACATGGCAGTGGCTTATTGACTAAATAACATTAAAATATAATGTGTTTTGAGTGTTCACTGAGTTCTGGATCTCTGCAAAGTATTTCACATTCATTTATATGCATCTTAGACTTTGCTTTAAAATTTTTGCTGCAATACAATTTATTATCTTTTAGAATAATTCCTTTTTCCTTTGAAAAATATAGAAATCGGGTCCTTCTGAGATGATGAGTTTCTCCTGCTCCTCTGGTTGCTTTCCTTAGCTATTTTTGTGTCATGGGGAAAGCATTCTAGATGCTTGTTAACTTCATTCAGTTTATTGTTCCCTTCATGTACCAGACCATGAAGTTGTTAAGTCAGTCTGGTTAGCACTGACTTCTGAGGCATTTCATTTGACATCTCTACACCTCCCTCTTGATCCTCTGCCATTTATCATTATCTTTTGTTTATAGCACTTTCACCTGTTTATCATCCATGTGCTGGACCTGGTAACAGAGCCAACTGAATTAATTTGGCAAGTAAAATTATCTCTGGCATTGTATGAAGTGCAGTGCTAACATTCAACACAGCAGTTCATTTCTGTTTCTCATAATTCAATTATTTTAACAGAAAGGTAAGAAATTGAATGTTTGTTTAATCTTCCCAAAAGTGAAAAATTCTCCTTAATATTGATATGTAAGGTAGACTAGCTATATGTACAGTCTTTTTATCAGCTTTCAGTAAAAAAAAAGATTAAGCGGAAGTAATCATTTTACAAATAAATCAAAATTGTAAATGCCTAAAAACTCTTTATAAATCAATGAGGAAACTGAAGAAGAAAAAGAAGTATAGATACATGAGCCCATGAAGAATAATAGGTAAAATTATGATTTTATGTTTCTCTCTTACCAGCATTTCACTACTGTTGTGGCTTGTGTTTAGATGTCCCTCCAAAGCCTCATGCTTTTTCAGAAGTGGCTGAATCTAGAGTGTGTGATTGACTCATGGTGGGGCTAGACTCCAGGGCACTAGGATTAAAGGTGTGAGTGCTAACTGCCCTAAGTAGTCTGAATAAGATAAGGGGGCAGAAAGATGTTACTGAGGTCTCTTGGTTTTCCTGTCTTCTGCTGCCATGAAAAGTTGCTCTTCTGCCACCCTGCCTTGGAGCCAGCTTATTATGGACTAAAACCTCTATGAACTGTAAGCCAAGTAAATTTTTCCCCCTTTAACTTTGGGTGTCAGGTATTTTGTCTTAGCAATGAGAAAAGTAACTAAGATCACTACCTTCTTTCAGCAAGCAGTCTTTTGATTTGTCCTTTTTCCTTGAAATGACACTATACACTCTCCAAACTTTGTTTTGATATTTTTCTATTAATAGGACTACATAATTTCTATTTCAATAAATATTTGGGTCCTCACTGTATAATAGAAAATTGGAGCTATGCCTTCTCATGTTTGTATCAATAAGCTTTTGTTTTTTTACTAGTGCTTTGTCTTTTTACTCTACTAATTTTCTTGCTAGAAAGTTTTAAACCAGGTTGCTATTACTAAGCTTGCTTTTTAAACTATCTAGTAATAAAAAATGATAATCAGGTGGATTTTTTTCTGTTCCACTTTCTTAACATTTTTAATTGCTCTACCCAAGGTAAACTACTATGGGAAGCCAAACTATTTAGAGTTTGTTATTTGACATCAGGAGGCTACCAATGAAAAGGTGGTGTTACTTAATCTTCAGCAAGGAGCCTGACTTTATTGTGAAAGAGCTGGACTCTATAGTTACTCAGGTTTTGTGATTCACCAAAATAGTCTGTTTGGCACTCTTGTCTAGTATGGCATTTCTTCTTTCCTCTTCCTGCCCATTGTTGCTTCTCAAAGACATTGTTGACTTAGACTTGTCCACTTCCCTGGCTCTTTCCACCTTCTATATACACTATTTCTCACACACTTTTTATATTTTTATTTCCTTTTATATCCAGGAAAAATGTAGATTATGGACAAAGTTCACGTGTTTTCTTTTCTTTCCTTCTTTCTTCTTCTAATATATGTGCAACATTGCACTCTGTAAGATACAATAGTTGTCCATCTCACTTACCTACAGGTTTTTTTTTTTTATAATTCAATACAATCCTCAAGATTAAGTTAGAAAAAGAGGTACTGTGTGTGCTTATTAGTTAAGGGTGCATCTGAAAGCACCAGGGCCAACAGATATCTTAAGGTTACTCATACAAGGAGTTTTACATCCTCGTCTCTTTATTTAAGAAAAAAATTTACATAAAATTAATTATTTGTAACTTTTAAATTTCTTTGGTACTTATATAAAACAAAAGGAAGATGGAGAAAAATTTTGTTTATATATAAGCCTTAAGTATAGCTTCCAGAGTAAATAAAATATCTGACCACGTTTCTTGAGCCAGGGATGGCAAGGCCATAGATGTAAAGCTAAATGAAAACTCCATTTAAGATTCATGTTACCTTGCAAGCCAGGTAATATAAAACTCTGGTAATACTTCAATAATGACTATGAAAATAGTTATCTTTAAGGCCAAAAAATATCATTTTACATTATATTGGTTATAAGCAAAATAATGCAATGTTGTAAAGATCCTAAAATGGTAAAAAAATCACTAATAAAATGTACACAGAACTCTAAAATCGATATATAAATAGTGTTATTTAAATTATTTTTGAATGGAAATTAGAAAGAGTAGGGATGTTGACAATGAAATTATTGGGTTCTGAATCCTCTCTTTGGTCACGTTGTAAGACTTTGCTCAAGCAACTTTTAAATGTCCTGATAAAACTGTCTGCACATCTTTTGAAAATATCCCATACTTCTAAAAACTTAAGAAAGATAAAGATAGTCAACAGTGAATGTTTTTCACAAATTTATCAGGGGACATATTGCTGTTCCAATCATAAAATTTTATTTTTGCTTTGCAATTCACCTTTCACTCTGAATTCTAAATGCCATCAACAAAACTGCCAGTGGTCCAAAAAATGATAAAATTAATATGTTCTAAAAACTTTACAGCCTCAATTACTTGGAAAGGGCAAACAAATGGAGAAGCATCCATACACATAAGTTATCATTTTTCTGCTATTAAAAAGGTGATGTTTTATATATGCCATGATTTTAAATTAGGGGCTTATTTCAATGGACAGAATATCGTAGTAGACTAAAATATTAAACAAAGCTTAGCTTATGTCACTATCTTGCTCTTCTAAAATTATTTCTTAAAAGACTGTTCCTGTATCTCTCCCTTTCAACTCTTTACAGTATTTCTAGTTTCTCTAGATTTTCATAACAATAAAAACACCAAAAATTACAATTATTTTTTCAGTAAATGTTTATTGTACATGTTTACATTTCTTGTGGGGAATTGGTACATGTACACAATATATTCTAATTCTTTTTATTTTTCATTCTCTTTTCCTTCTCTCCTTCTCCTCCACCCAATTCATGATCCCTGTTATGGCCTGTATCTAGATGTGCCCCTAATGTCTCATGTGCTCATAGCTGTACCTTTTTGGAGGTAGCTGGATTTAGGGTGCATGTATACATATTAAGGGTTGTGATAACTGGATTAATCCACTGACTGGCTTATCATAATACTAGGTGTGGGTAATGGGAAAGCCCACCCTGGGTGTGGATGGCATCAACCAAAACGCTTATTGCCTGGATGGAATATAAAGCAACAGGGTTGCTGTCTGCTTGCTCCCTCCTACTTGCCCTTATATGGACTGTTTCTCCTCTGCAATGTCCCTCTGCCATGACACCGTGCCTTGGAGCCAGTGGACTATAGACTGAAACCTCTACAAACTGTGAGCTAAAATAAACCTTTAATTTGTGGTTGTTGAGTATCTTGTCCAAACAATGAGAAAGTGACTAACACAATTCCCTGGGGGTTTTTTTGGTTTTTAGGTTTTTTGGTTTTTTTTTTGGTATATGTTTCCAATACATAATGTTTACATTTCCTGAGTGCAGTTGGTACTTGTACATAACAATTATTATCTGAGGGTCTTATTTGTACCACACATTCTAAGAGGTATTTTAAATATAGTATTATCAAATGAAAAGTTTTTCTTTTTTTTCTTTTTTTTTCTTTTCTTTTCTGGTACTGGGAATAGATTCAGGGCCTTGTGCTTGTCAGGCAGGCTCTGTACCACTAAGCTATATCCCCAACCTGAAATGTTTTTATATTTTGTTTTATTTTGCTACCTAGTGAAAAAACTTCATTGAAAAACTTCTGAGACTTAAATAAGAATTCTCACAACACTGTGTGAACCAATGGTTGGCCTACAGATGTTCCTATAAAAGAATGGGCTACCCACAACTCCTTCTAAGGCTCAATTCACTTCATGTCTGTGTGTTTCTAGAACTTAGATAACAAAATAGGAAAAGAAGGAAGCAATTTGGAAAATTTAGATATTCCATTTGTAAAACTATATTTTGGCATAAAAGTATAATAAAAGTATTATAAGTTAAAATATAAGGAAAAATTATATTCCCTACATATAAACTC